ACAGGTCCAACCCTTCGTATGTACCGAGTCTAAATACTTATACTTAATGCAAATGTGTATTCGGGTTTTGGTAAACGCATCTATGTACGTTACTGAAGAAAGAAGTCCTAGTGTAGGACAACGTTTAAAAACGCTTCGAATGTTACAAGTCGCTGAGCGCTCAACACTAGGCGATATCGTCCGCTCGTTTTTAATCTATCGCATAGTTTTAGGTATCTATCGCATAGGTTTAGAGCTGTCTCAACAGATCGGCAGAAATAGGGAGTTCTAACTTTACTGTGATGGTAATGGTATTATGCATTATTTCAAAACTTACCTTACAATAAGAATTCCGCTTTCCTCGACATCATGTCGGCATATCGCCATACCATATTAGAAGTAACACTAAGTTCCTTGTACCTAAGTAAGAATTGAAATATGATAAAAGTTTACGACGCTTCTCAATCGACCTATTAAATTTTATACCAAACAAATAAACAATCAAATATTAATAGTATAATAAAATAATAGTTTACATACAATGTGATGTCCTCAGTCATCCTTATTATTAACCAAATCAAACACATAATGTCCCCGCAAAGCAATTCATATAAGCACCTAACATTACATTTTCAAATAGCACTCATTTCAAACCACATACAACACGTGTTGATGTTAGATAGGAAATTTATCCAAAACTGAATTACAATTTACAGTTTACACACGTAACTATAATTTGATGAAATAGCACATGTTTATGAGCCCTTGGTGTGCCTTGAAACTAGTTGACTTAGCTCGTTAAATTGTTTCGTATCGCAGTAAGAAGTAAAATTTAAAATGTTGATTTTTCAATGACTTCACAGTTTTGATAGGAATAGTCTTCATATAATCTACAAATTCTATATTATGGGGCAATGGCTCTGCAACTGGTTGTTGTGCCACGTGTCGCGGGTTCGATTCCCGTATGGAACAACATTTTGTGCGATCTACAAATTGTTGTTTCGGGTGTCTAGGTAGAAACGCACAAAAAAATTTACGAAAACTTTTGATAACGAGTAACCATGGAGTTTCTTGCTCATTCTTCTCCATAGGAATCTACACTTTGAAACGAGCAAATAGCTTTACTAGAGGACAGACGGACAGACTGACACGTATAAAGTTAAACCTTTTGATATTTTGTTTGCTTGACGTTCAAAAGTACCGGTTGTGGTCTACTTGAAATAAAGAATTTGATTTGATTAGATTTCCACCCACGACACAAGAAAAAATACAAGTGAGCGGCATCGAGATTCTGGTTGTTTGGTTGAGTATGTGTACTTGTATGTTGTTAAAATACATAATCTATTGAAGAAATCTTATTGTTTGATAACGACAATATTCGAAAAATTAATAAATACCAAAATTACAAATATTTATAATATTATTAATAATATCAGCATATTCTCATTGAAGCACTGTCACAAACATATTGGGCAAAAATGCATATTAAAACAAAGAGTTAAAAAATGATATAGACGAAATGAAAATACCTTTCATTAACCATGGACATAACAAGCTGAATACCTTACATTAATGGTATTAAATGCACTCCGTACAAAGGAATTGGATGTCAATTATTTATTATTCTACTTCGGAATTTTATTTCGTGAATGCTGTTTATTATAAAAGAAGAAATTCGAAAATTGAATTGGTGTATTTCCCTTTTTTGAGGGGTACAATCATAAAGTGTCTCTCTCTCAATCTCTCCTGCTCTGGATCGGGAACTCTGCGTCTCCTATCCCGTTTCTTCTTTTATTTCTAACCCGAAGTCTGACCCAGAATACCGGCTGAACATCAGTCCTAGTGGGTGCCATCTCTGAAAAATCTCTTTGAGGCGCACGCAGAACGTGACGGGCTGTATTTCCTTTGTATTTGGGTCCTCTAACTAAAGTATTTAAATAAGTATAACAAAATAAGGCTGTAGTTGTTTCACGCCAATTTTCTGTAAGGCCAATATCAGTCGGGTCAAGCCGACCCATTTGTACTTGGCTCTTCCACACTTACAAGAAGGTTAAAAGAAGTTATTTAACTTGCCAAATACTTTATTTAGTTTGGATAAGAATAATGTAAGTGTTCAGTAGGTTTCACAATAAATGACATAAAGAAGAAGAAATAAACGAAATCGCAATCACACATATGAATCTAAAGCGTCCTTCCCTCACCTCAACCTTTTCCTCTTAGTTTCAAACCCATTTTCACGCACCGTTGAATTATCCTTTATCATCAAACATTTCATCGATTTAAACCACAATCGATAGCACACGCCACAAACCTCAAATCACAGCCACATTTCATTTCTCAATTTTATTAATACTAAACACAACTAGATATGTTTCGTACCTTATACGCTTACGAGTATTAATGTAACTGTTAGGATGTGTTCAAAATGTTATTGTACATTTTTTGTTATTTGAATTCATATAATTACTAGCTTTTGACCGCCACGCAGTTCGCGTGGAATAGTGACTTCCTGTAGATTTTTGGCATGAAACTAGCGACTATCCTTTCGCGAGTTCCAAACTATGTTTGTACGAAATTTCACAGAAATCGGTTCAGTAGTTTAGGCGTAAAGACAAGACGAAGTAACTCTGTCTGTCTGACAGAGTTACTTCGCATTTATAATATTAGTATAGATTTTTGTATAGTATATTTATCATGATACTAAATTTATTGATAATACGACTTACTCACGCGAAGTAATAAAGAAAAGCGTGACTACATGAACTAAACAACGCTGAGATTTAAGCCAATATGTTAATCACACAAAGATCGAATTAACAACATACTGCTTTGCAGTCGATAGCCCAGCCAAAGCGCTACTCGCGTTGTCAAAATGTTGGCCAAATCTGAAAAAAAAAATTGTGTATTTGCTTTGTAGGTTTTTTTTTTGTGAGGGGAAAATCATTAAATTACTTCTCCCGCCCAGGACCGGGTTGGAGGGAGTGTCAGACTCTTACTTACTAAAAACCCCCCTGTTCCTTCTCCTGCTCTGGGCCGAGGTCGCGGTGCCTCATTGCGCTTACCCCGCAACCCCGGCTGTGCTTTGTAGGTTGGATATCACATTTTAAAAAGACCAGACTAATAAGAGAGCACTACTTACGAGTCTCTTTGAAATTAACAGTCCCACTCTCAGAGAAAGGATAGTGGTAGTTATAAATGTATTTATTTACTCAGTCTTAGCTACAGAACAATGTAAAAGTACCTTTACAGGCAAACGTTATCGATGTTATTACGCCAGTGACTCGTGAATTCGATACGAAAATACTAGTTATTTGAGAGCTGAACACGAGATATTTCCGAGGAAAACTCGTATTGGTAGCGTGCTTTAGTTCTCCTATATTTTGCAGTTCAAATTGTACTGCGATAGCGATATTTTTGAACTTACACTGGTATTTCAATGTTTGTATTACTCTAACGTTATTTTGATGATGACCGGTCAGAATAAAACTTATGACTTCATTCGTGCGATGAAAGGTAACCAAACCAACGGAATTGACCTTAAATACCACTTCGCAGTTACTACTATATTTTACTCATGATCTTGTAGGGTTCTGTTATTGTTTTCGTTTGAACTAAACGAATTTTCAATCTTTTTTTATATTTAATAGGTCGGCAAAAGAGCAAACGGATTACCTGATGGTAAGCAATCAGCGCTACCCATGAACACCCGCAGCGGAGGAGTTACGAGTGCGCTGCCGACCTTTTAGGGTTTTGGAGATTAAGGGATTGGGGAGGGATCGGGGAAGGGGAAGGATTGGGCCTCCGGTAACCTCACTCACACGGCGAAACACACCGCTGTGGTTATTTCACGCCAGTTTTCTGTGAGGCCGTGGTATCACTTCGGTCGAGCCGACCCATTCGTGCCGAAGCTTGGCTCTCCCACACTTGCGTAAATACCTCGTTTATTACTTTTTTAGGGGAAAGAAACTATGAAATGACTTCTCCCGACCCTGGACAGAGAGCGAGAGAGTTAATGTAAGACCCTTACCTACTGACTATAATCATCTGTTTTTTCTCCTGATCCTGACTACTGAACTACGACAAATAGTTCTTGCCTAACAAACCTTTCACTTCATCCTCCTGTAACTGGAACACCCATAAAACATAGTAAACATTTATTCACAAAACAATATCATTGTGTTTATATCCAATGTTATTCAATGATAAAAATATAATTCATATCCGTTGGCACATATCCAATGTTTCAACTTTATCTAGCGTGCGCAACGAGCCTTTATGCGCGAATTTGATAAAATATACAAAGGTATAGGCAAGCAACAGAAAAGTCTAATGATAGGTTCTGAGAAAATCATTTGAATTTTCCTTTGTATTACATACAATGTATATAGACTAATTTATCATGTATTGTGTTGTGGCAGTTATTAGTGAAGGCTTGGTTTTATACAAGGTATTTATGTATTTTTTTAAGATTAAAATTCTTTAAAATTAAATGGCTTCACCCGCCATTACTACGCCGAATAGGTAGTCTTGAGTTTGTTTTTTTTGGTAATCATAAGAAGTCTCGCGTGTGCTCTGTTTTCGTTTGGTTTGGATTCGGAGCATATTATCGTTTAAGAAATCTTTTGGATCAAACATACTATTTATAATGACATGGAATTTAGAGCATCCGTTCTTTTCGAGTGCAGCTATTTCCTAATTTGCACTTTCTGAGATTATTTAGGGACAACAGACAGACGATGAAGGAAAAAATAGTGAAGAAACCTGGTCTTATTATTTCTAAACAGAAATTGGTTCCACCTTGAGCAGGCGTAGTGATTAATGCTCACGCTTTCTCCGTATGTGAAAACGCTCAGCAGTGGCCACTTATAGGTTGATCATATGTGTGTTTGTTTGTGATATCAAGGGCAATCCCTAACATTTAATCTTTAATTAAAACCAACATGATTTAAAAAAAAAAAAAAAAAAAAAAAAAAAAAAAAAAAAAAAAAAAAAAAAATTTAATTCCTAAATTTTTGTTACAGTCGGACCAACGTTACAAGCCAAGTATCCAGTTGTGATCTTCATCCATGGGGAGTCCTTCGAGTGGAACTCAGGGAACGTTTATGACGGCTCTGTTTTAGCCAGTTACGGTGGTCTTGTCGTCATCACCATCAACTACAGACTTGGTATCCTGGGTGAGTAGTTTTTTTATTATTTTCCAAAACTGTATTTTTTAAACATAGGTCGGCAAATCAGTAGGCAGATTATCTGATGATAAGCTATCGGCGTCGTCCGTGGTACATGGTAGTACTATCAGTGTCATAAGTGCATGGATGATTCTAAATCAAAATCGTTTGTACGGCGTTTCATCGCCTTAATTATATACCATGGACGACATAGATGGCGCTAGTATACTAGTGGTATTGAAAAATATACATTTATAGTTTTTATCAGATACAAAGTTATTAACTTAATGAGTTATTAACAAATGAGTTGCTGGCCAATTCTGAGTTTACGATTTGAGAATTGGTGAATCTGGAATGAGGATTGCAAAGATTAGGTCTCCGGTAACCTCACACACATGACGACAGCACAAGGCATTGTTGCACGCCAGTTTTCTGTAAGCGTGCTGTCACTCCAGAGGAGTTAGTCCACTCGTTGCTGTCGGATAGCTCTCTTAAAAAGTAAGCAAAGTTACTTTTCTTACTTTTCAAGAAACAGATGTTTTATACGTAATCTTAATAAAGTTGTTAAACAACGACTTTATTTGTTCCTTTGATGATGTATAAAACATACTTAATTGATTGCATGTCCTCAAAGCTAGAGTGAATTGAAAACTATCTCTCTGTACTTTAAACATAGTTTCGGATAATGTGCCGAAAATTCTACTTAAAAACAAACCTTAGAAGGATTATATTTGTTTGGTAGTACATGTGAGCTAATATGAAGAGTGCCATCAAAAACTAAACACATAAACGAACTGTTTTCATACAATGTTATTATATTATGACTAGCTGTGAACTATTACTTTTGTCACGTAGCAATTTTCCTAATTAAACATTACTCACGGACTTTACTACGTAGTTTGGCTTCATTGGAAAATGGTCTTTATTAATAAAGGACCAAAATGTATTTTAGATTATTTTTATTGAGTTATTTTTAGCATTTAGAGAAGTTTTGTTTTTTGATAAATATTGTATTCTTTCTTAATTCAAAAGTACAAATTAGGAAATTCTGTTAACTACCTCAAGTTCCAATCACAGAGGATTTAAGAACAATGTAGGTACAAGGGACGTGCTTATAAAATTAAATACACTTTTACATTTTTTATTTCAACTATCCCTATTTCATATGTCCAACTACCACCCGATTCGCTATATGGTGGCATTTTGAAAAAGGGACTTAGAGCCGATTTTGATGCTCAAATACAACAACTTTCTCCATGGGACCAATATCCTAACCTCAATAAATATTTTTTAACAAAAATAATCCGACTACGAAAAGTGAACTGAAAAGCAAAAACTAAATTTTCTTTGTAGAAATTAATGCATGTTTTCATTTAGTTAAATAGAAAATAATATTATTAACCATTTTATAAGCTTGAAGTTGGTGCCATGACCACATTAAAATGGGACCCTTTCGAGAGTATAACCTTTCAAACAAAACAAGAATTTTGGGAATCGGTTTATAAATGGCGGAGTAATCGGTGAACATACAAAAAAAAAAAAAACAATCAGCCGAACATAGTACCTCCTCCATTTTTGAAGTCGGTAAAATACATTTATTTCCCCATACAAAACGTAACAGCTAATTAATCATTCTGCTTGGAGTAGTATTTTTTTTCCATTTACCATATTGGTCTTATAGAAAAAGTTGTTTTATTTGAGCACCAGAATCGGGTCTCTCGTTCAAAATGAAAACCTGTATAATGCTATGACAGACAAACATCTCAGTAATAGTTCAGTTTTACCCTTTAAGTACGGAACCCAAAAACAAAACCCTTTGTTATTTATTTCCACTTTGATCGGTTTACCCTTTTACCTTTGAAAACGTAAATCTTGGCAAAGGAAATGAAAAATCGAAAATAAATAATTCTATCATTGTTTCTTCTAAGAATCTGATAAATGTTTTCTTTGTTACCAAGATATTGTATACAGTAGAGATTTTTTAACCGAGTTTAATAAATTTTATTCATTTTATAATTGGTTCTGATTTTTTTTCCTTCTTTCTTGACAATGTAAACGTCCTCTATTATGCAACGTTATTTATATTACGAGTAAATGGTCGTGCCAATGTATCACATTGTATACATCTTTGTATATAAAAAAAGCATTCACTTACACAGGGATTTCCTTCTGTGTGTTGTTGCTGACTTACAATGTCACACACACAGTCACACTCAGACTCTCAGACACACACGTTCACATCTAGACCCGGAATGACAATTTGTGGATACGTTGCAGCCTGTTGCTCACCATCAGACCACACCACAGAAATCTTAATCATGTACAGACTCTACCATAGCACGGCAAGCAACAAGCTACCCAGACGCAAAAATCTTAAAAAAGCCAATTCGACTTTAGTCTTTAGACTCTAGTTGACGTGCTATCTGGACAATGTGGTTTTTTTGTATGATCCATAAATTGTTGTTCCGGGTTCAGGTGTAATGTTCAAACACATTATTGTTCGTTTTTAAATGAACAAGGAGCTATACAGGAGATATAGTACTAAAAACGTCTCTTTCTAATTTCAACAATTCTACCAACAGGTTTTCTTAATGCGAACCCCATACCGCACTTAAAGGCCCGAGTAGCAAACTATGGCCTGATGGACCAGATAGCAGCTCTACACTGGGTACAACAGAACATCGCCCTGTTTGGAGGTGATGCTGGTAATGTCACTATGCTGGGCCATGGATCAGGAGCCGCGTGCATCAATTTCCTGATGATATCTCCTACTGTTATGCCTGGTAAGTGTATTTAAACATTAAAGATCGTTTTCAAGGTGTTACCAAAAATCAATGTTTGACTGCCATATCATCTTAAAGAAAAATGTGACAATATAATATTATGTACTCAGGGCTATTTTTAAAAGTGAGGGAATTACCTTTGCTTAATTTCCAACAAACATTACACCACCAAGATAAGAGAAAGTTTTAATTAGTAAGTCTATATTTATAAGGTACGCTAGGATTGACATGTACTCGATATAAAAGTCTCAAAAAAAAAAGAGAAAAAAAAGTCTATTTTTTTAATAATAATTCAATCATTCAGTAGTCTAAGAAGTCAAAACCTTACTTTTTACGCTAGGACAAGGAGTTTTGTTGCAAATGAGGCATAGAAAAGCAAAGTCAGAGCTATACAATATGTTACTCTACCGCAAATCCTATCCAAGGGTAACGTTACTTGACCTTTTTCAAAAACACCAATAACACGTTGTGTGTCCTTCAAGGGCGGTCCTTGCCCAGCCTTCTATTGACATTCTTATCCTTAGAAGTACTTTTTTTATCGCTTACATTTACTCATTAAATTCCTTTTCCATTTGTGGGTGAAACAAAGAATAACAAAATATATATATATGAAGACCCAGCAATAAAATCTTTCCCCAAACCAATTCCTTTCGCGAACGATTTAAAAAACCAATTCTAAATTGATAGTTACACGTTTCAATTTGCACTGCACAAACGGAGTGCAAAGTGTTCGTTTACCCAAAGTAATCATCAGTCGCTCTAGCCTGTACAAATTCGGCAAAATTGAACCCAAAATTTATTCCCTCACTTTTACAATTAGAGCACTTTTGGGATTCCAAATTTATTCCAACGTGCAAACTAGAATTTTCAATGAAATAGCCTATTACGATCGATATGCTATTTTTCGGGAACTAGGAAAGCTTTTGAGTTGAATATTTATGATAGGGTTCCCATATAAAAGAGAAAATGGCCTTGGATTAAAAAACTTTAATAAAAATACGAAGGCAATAAGTGTAGACTTTAGGTTTTAACTTCTTTCTTGGTAATAAAATTGTAGGCCGTTGCTAAAAGAGCAGGTAAATGTAAAAGTAAACTAAACGATGTTTTAATTAAATCTCTGGGTAGTTAAAACGTGGCTCTTAGTCTTTTTAATACTCTTGAGACTTTACCTTTCAACTAAAGATTACAAAGGAACTTGGGTAAAAGCTAGGATCTCAGTACTTTATGTCTCTGTTGTTGCCTTGATTGCATTCTGCGTTTGCTTTTTCAATGAAAAAAATTAAATATTTTCTGCTAACGTCCCTTTGTCTTTCTAATTAAATTTCTTAGCAGTGGAAATTTTATTCTAAAATATTTGATTTAAAAAGTTAACATTTTCCGCAAAGGAATATTTAACAGCAAACTTTTCAAAGCAATTATCGATGATTAACTCATAATTTTGTTACAGGCCTATTCCACCGTTCGATCCTGCTGTCAGGGTCAGCACTAAGCTCGTGGGCTCTTGTTGAAGACCCAGTCAGTTTTTCCGTCCAATTAGCGAAACAGGCTAACTGCACGCTTCCAGAAGACATCGTTAAAGACCATGAACTCATAGTAGACTGCTTAAGAGAAGTTCCTTTAGACGAATTGATGTCTGCAGAGATCAGTACACCAAGTTACTTGACAGCATTTGGACCGTCAGTGGACGGTGTGGTTGTCAAAACAGATTATGCCAAAGAACTCCTAACATTCTTCATACCCAACGACCTTCAAGGTTTCTCAAGTGTATCAGGAGTAAACAACCTCAAAGCTGATAAAAGAAGCGGTGAAAGGATGTTCGGGATCAGGGGAGGGCAGAATAAGTATGATCTCCTCTTCGGAGTAGTCACTAGTGAAGCGCTCTGGAAATTTTCCGCACAGGATATACAAAATGGGTTCGAAGGCGAACGAAGGGATAGAATAATAAGGTAAGGTCGATGTTTATTCAGCAAATTGATGTTTGAACGGTATACGGTCATGGAACGTTTTCTTGTGAATAGGTTGTCATCAAACATATTGGGTTGAGAAGTTGGATAGCGAAATATTTTGAAGAATTGAATAGTAGATCGATAGACACGTAGACATGTTATTGGCCCATACCGTAAAATATTCTTTTGCGATATCGAATACTAGAAAATGTTACATAATGCAGCATGTTTACAAACATGTTGAAAGAAATACACTAGTCTAATATTATTTCCATTATAATTCTATGATTATGCAAACCGTTCTTATTTTATGTAACTGTTTGTTAATAAAATAGCGTATTTAAGCAAATTATTTTATTGTTCATCATATTTTACGGGAATGAATAAAAAAGGATTATTTTCGCCAATGAAAAAAAAATGCTTATAACAAAAAAATATCCAAAAAACTGAGTTGATATTGACATTTTTAACAGTAACACGAGCCAAAACATGTTCATTTCTGGAGATTTTTTCATGTCTTCTTATTAAAATAATACTTGGGACATAACTAACGAATAACGTTTATTCTAAGTAAAAAGCCACGATGAGAATGAGCCTTATAAACCCGCATTTTAATGTCAATGTGCAACTCTCCAGCGTTTCCCTTTGATGTGTTTCCACAGACAAATTACCAGTTTGTTCATCGCAAAAATACGAGGTTTTTAATAAAGCTAAAACAACAGTCTTTTGATGTTATATCGTACGCAGAGTGGGTGATTAATTGTATGATTTTGATAGTCTTTGTACATATTTTGTTTAACAGTGTCATCCCGATGGGATTATTAAATGTTTTTGATAAAAATTGGATTTATTTTATTAACGTTTTTGCTACAAACTTTAAAAAAAATGTCTCTTAGTAACTGCTCACTTTTCAGTGCGCGAATAGTTTGATTTTTAGTATATTCTATTTTAAGTTCGTTTTCTAAAAGCAATTTAGTTTTTGTATTGATAATAACTTCCATATTCGATTTTCGAATGACAACGTTTATTATATCTTGATCTTTAATCCCCGTAAAGCGTCGTCAACTAAAGAAAATTTCCATTACAATACATCCTTTCTAAAATTACAAAAGCTTGACATAAATGCCAAACATTATTTCAACATTTTACTCCAAATTTTCCAGTGACGCAGCAATAAGATGTAATATTCGTGTTAGGGTCGGTAATACGGATGAAGTGAGACAGGTTATTGGTCCATTACCGTCTAGTGCCCGCAAGTACAACAATCCCAGCCGATTTAGAGTCTCCCTTACGTAATAACTATTGGGCACAGGTATGCCAATCGATATCTCTAGAATTGCTTCAAGAAAATATATTTTCCCTTCTACGTCGTATTTATTAATAGTTTTGGTCTAAGGAATGGTTTTGGCAAAGGCTTTTGCAAACGTATTGTTAGATAAGAGGCAGTTTATTGGCATAATAGATAAAGTGAGTTGAATGGGGTAATTGTTTTTCATTTGGCTCGAGCAAACTGGTATTGAAATTATTCGTATGTTTTATTTGAAAGCGAAGTACAGATGTATGAAGCCATGTCCATACAATGTCCTAATGTTACGAAAACACACTTTGATACCTTTTTTTACTTTTAAGTTCCCTTCGTGTCTTCTTGTAGGTTTGGATTTTTAATAACGTTCGATGACGTTATTAATTGTGTTAATTATATGTACTTACTATTCTTGGTACATGTTGCATCAAATCACCAATGGTCGCATCATTTTTTGAGTTGCCAAGCACAGTTGCTCTAGCTAAGTTAAGTAACATTATGTACAAGAAGGCATTGGTTGGATGAGATTAGAGCTAAGGTCCGAGCTCAGTGACGTGCAATTTGAGAGACTTTTCTTTATTAGACGAGAATTGGCTGATGATGATAATGTTTTTACTAGTAAACGGATTTTTTTAGTGCTTAAAATCATGAACTTTATCATCCGTATTGTAACACAAAAGCCACAAATGATATCCTTCATTAATGCTACCAGCATACAACAAATAATAGGTATACTTGTTTCACATTTCTTTAGTAATTCTACCTTCAAGTATTGATAACCTCATTTGTTACAGGACTTATGTCAGGAACGCATACACATATCATTTAAGCGAGATATTCTTCACAATAGTGAATGAGTACACGGACTGGGAGCGGACTGTGCAGGTAATTATAATTTTATTTATTGGACCAATAATTTATTCACCACTGGCCTTTATTACTTGTTCGTGCTCATTATTGGTACGTTATTGTGGGTTTATTTATAGAGAGGTGACATTATTTACGTCAAATATTTGATGTTTGTTGAATGCATAATGTCTGTGACAGTCGATGATGGTTTGGATTGATTTTAATTATATTGTGTAAGGTGATTTATGACTGAAAGTTTTAACCAAAAATGTCATTTTATTAGAACCTTTGTCAAATATCAATAATAACACGATCTGTTTTGGATTTAATTTGGTATTGGATTGGTAAGTATATATGAGAATTTTATCGACGTATTCACTTTATGGACTAAGAAAATTCACTTAGGTTTTGTTAGCAAATCAAAATCAAAATAATGAAGTGAGTTTCGGCCCGTAATGATACTACGATGTGAAATAATAGTTGCATTGTGTTTCGCCTTATGAGTGGGGTTACCGGAGGCCCAGTCCTTTCATTTATCTTCCAAAATTCCTAAATCCTCGTATCCTCTAAAACTTGTGATTTCTCTGTGTACGCGGGTGCATAAGGCTGCTGATTGCTTACCGCCAGGTTATCTGTCTACTCATTTTAAAAGATCCGTTTTAATACCTGATAATTCTATTACAAAGAATGATATACTTACATTAGGTATTTGCCAAATAGGTTCTAATTTACCTTACACACATACTTTACAACAATACTGATACAAAATATCTATGAGTCAAACTCCTCTATATCATTTTTATACCAATTAAATTTCTCAAAACAACGCCCAAAGTTGCACCAACTTGACCTACATGAGACTAAGTGACATAGGTTTATGATGACTTGGCAGGGAATTCAAAAGACTTGGCGCTTGCCTCTAAACATTCTCTTACTGCCAAATTCTCCACGTTTTCTAGTACAGACGTTTATATTGATTGTCCTGAGTATTATATTCCATACTATTAATAAATCTGAATATTTTTTAGTAATTTGTATGGTCTTAAGCTTTTTTCTTTATAATAGTCCTTTGCTGTGTTTAGTTTTGCGACTGTTATAGCATATAAGCTGTTGTTAACCCCACTCTTCATCACCCAAAGGTTCGACCGGAAGAGCATGACTATGGTATTAAATCTACCTTATACACAAATGTTCGTGCAAAAGTTTAAATAAATATTAAGATATTTTTCTTAGTTTATAAAAATAATTTTGATTGACATTCCAAAGTGTTCTATAATTGTCGATTTGACATAAATGGCTTGACTTTGACTACTTAAAATTGATTCTTAATCTTTATGATATAAAGTTCGAAATATTGGTATAGTCAGTATACTTTAAAGGGTGAAAGGTTTAAATGCTGTAGAGTATTTATCGCTTATCTATAGATTGAGAATCCAAACACAACCCTGTTAATGATTGCGATGGACTTTCAAATATTTCACTGAATAATTTCAACGGAATTTTAATAAAGGTTCCAGTAATATTTATTGATACTGCTAAATTAAGATACAGATTAGTTTTGATATTTGTAATTAGTTTATTTTCTGACTCGTGTTTGTATTTACCAAATAATAAAAGTTATCTGTGGAATAATTATGATGCTGTCGCGTCAGAATGTTTGTATAAGACAGTGACAGCAACAATTATATTCCTCAGATAACATTTATCTGACTATTGATAAATCAGCCCTTAATCTCAGTCTTATAGTTATTTTTTTTATTTCTATCTTGATCGAATTTGGCAATTATCTGTTTCTTCATACAATGCCTTACTAGATCAATAAAATTCCGTTTCCGTATTTTTTTCATGTAATCTTATCTTAGTTCCCCTTCCTAAACGACTCAAAAACTTACCTGTCGACATCTGGTTTTCAACAATCAGTCTTTTCGGTGGTGGCGCTTCAGGTGATCAATCACTCCGTCACTTATAGCGGAAGAGTTTTGTTTGACCATATCTCATCTTGCACACAAGAAATGACATTGTTAGGTATGACTTACGACAGAGGAACAAAATAAACATAATTATTTGTTTTGTATCTTTCAAAAAGAAATGGAAATGGTCTTTCTTCATTATTTCTGAAGCATGCCAATCATGCCATCTTGCTAAAAAGCTATGAGCTTTTGATTGCAAGGTTGGCTTAGTGGTTGGGCAACAGTTGCTATGAAAGGTGTTGAGGGTTCGATTCCCGCACGGAACAATTCTTTGTGTGATCCACTAATTCTTGTTTCGGATTTGGGTGGTTTGTGTAGGTTAGTAAATGCACCCATGACACAAAAGAAAATCATAGTGTGGGGCAACACTTTTAGAATAATTATGTAATTCAAAACTCGTAACCAGTCCAAACCAGTTTTAACTGCAAAAAATATGTAAAAGTACTATTGTCTGATGCCCTTAGTCAAAACCACTTTTGAAAAGTCAAAAATTTGTATATATTATACAAATTTTACGGCATAATTTGTATTGTATAATTTATACAGTGATTCGAATTTCTCTTTTACCTTAGCACCCAATAAACACCCGAGACGCAGCAGTGTTGGCATTATCTGACGCTCAGTACGTAGCACCGCTGGTCCAGACTGGAGACTTCCTCAGTTCGCCAGACACATCGCCGAGAACATTCTTCTACGTATTCGATTACCAAACGAAGGATGGGGATTATCCGCAGGTGAGGGTTAGAATATTTTTATATAATTTTTCCTTTAAAATTGTTAATTAATTATAAAAATAATTTGATAATAAATTGTTGTATTGTTTGTAGTAATTGTGTTTATAGTAATTTGTTGGCATTATAAAAAATACCAGTAAATGTGTTTTTTTTATAAATGTAAAAAAATAGACCATTTTACCAATTATAATTGATTAAATTAGTTCTATTATTTTTTTTTTGTTCTACATATGTCAAACTTTATAATATTGAGTCTCAATTCTATCTATACTCTCTACTTACATAGGTTATTCTCACTTTTCTACTAAGGAAAATGATCTTAAAAATATTATGTTCCATTCAGTACACTCTAAAGTACAGCATGCATTTCAGCGTATAGTGGCAGTCTCTCAATAGTTTTCTCTTAAACATTTTACGACTACAACTATTTATTACCCATCGCATACTTTGAAAAATTGAAGAATTCTATCAAAGGATGCAGGATGCAACATTGTAATTTAAAAGTCAAAAACTTTGTTACTACTTAATGAAATTCCATTATAGATATTAATAGTTTTAATAGCTGTAATTTTGTGCTAATATTCCTTTATGTTTCAGAGGATGGGGTCAGTTCACGGTGAAGAGCTTCCTTACTTATTCGGCGCACCATTAGTGGATGGGCTCGGCCATTTTCCGAGAAACTACACCAAGTCTGAAGTGGCTTTGTCAGAGGCATTCATACTTTATATGGCTAATTTTGCGAGAACCGGGTGAGTTTCACCAAACGTTTTGTTTACTTGCCCGAGAATTAGTTTGTCAAATGCTCAGTTCGTGTATTTGAAGGAGCGCTATTTGTTTCATATTTTGGGGACATCAAAGCTTGGTTTCATTGCTTCGTTAGAAGCTATCTGTATACCGAAATTGTTGGCGTTTTAAGTGCTTTTAGATGTCAGTTAGGAATAAGTGACGTGAAATTGTGTTTTTGTTCTAACATTGAAAGAAAAAGTAATATAGTTATTATACTGTCTGCCTTTTATATAAGCTCAGTGACAAATTTTTGTCTGAAATTGCTTCTTATTAAATATAATTATGCATTTTATAACATTACAAGTAACATATTTTAATTACTTTTAATGCCGTCGTTCTCAGACGCATTTAATATAAACAAAACTTACCTTTGTTAATAATATAATTATCCAAAACATTTGCTAATGAGTTTAATAACTATTGTACGACTCTGAGAGCGGCGGCAAAAAAGATAACAAACATTAGCAACGTTAATTGTACTAATATTATCACAAAATCCCCTTTAATCTCTGCTCAATACGTCATAGTTTTCCATGATTAATTCATGGAAGTATATCTATACATACCTACGTACAAAACGTAGTCTTTTAATGGAGTGTCAGTCACAGCAGTTACTAGTTAGTACTTGATGCAACCACACCATCGCCGTTATCCAATATAAATTGCGTAAATTGAGCCCAAAAATGTAGCACTTCGTGGTCAATTCATTCATTTATCAAATAATTTATTAATTTATTTAATTAATGCGATTGTAATGTCTATAAAATGAATGGCAAAATGTGTTGATAAGCGCATAACACAACATCGCGCGGATCAATTTTGCTGCGCATAACTCAAAAACGCGTGTATCAATTTTGCTGTTTTTATTATTATTTTGATATTGTCAATACCAAAGGTTACAAATGTGTTGCCAGCCTTTCGTGGGAAAGGGAATTTGGGAATTGACACTTTAGCTTACACGGCGAAACACCTTGTACATATGTGTAGGTTCACGCCGGTATTCTGTGAGACCGTAGAATCACTCTGGTTTACCCTTCACGCTGAAGCTCTCCCCCAACTTCTTAATTTCTAATGCTACGATCCTAGAATTAAGTAAAACTATACTGTTGGATAAGAAAATGAAAATCAATACCAAAGCAAGGTTTAGGCTAACCAACGTACCGTAAATCAGAATTGCGTGTATAGTAAATCCATAAACGTCACACCACTTAGCGTGAACATTATTTCTCAGAACAACGCATTAGTCTGAACGAATGAAAACAACAAAATATTTTATCAAAATTAGTATTTTTTTTGCTTTAATAAGCAAAGTGGCGACTTTTTCTTGTAATTGTAGATTACTTTGAACACGAAGGTTTAACTGTAGACTGGAAATTAAGTTGAATTTATTGTATTTTTATTTTTTATAACTCTTGCTAAAAGAACTTTGGCTTACGTAGATACGATTTTGTATCACACGTTATTATCATCATCAGCCTATAAGTGCCCAATGGTTAGCAAAGGCCTCTTTTCAAAAGGAGAAGGTGTGAGCATTAAATACCACGCTTGCTCAAACTTTGTCGATTTCAGACTTATAATTAGATTTTGGAAGTCCACGTTTCATCACGATGTCTTCCTGCACCAGAGGTCTGTGGTGTCTTTATGAACTTAGAATGTACAGTCAGGGGTCAAAAATGCAATTGCACTCTACCAATTTTAAAATGACCAAAATATATTTTTAGAATAGAGTCAATGGTTGAGGACTGCTTTAATTTATAGCATATTATAATCTAAATTAATAAATAAACTGGCTGTGAACCAATGAACCCAGGCCACCACAACAATCATACCCAGACCCAGAACAACAATTTGTCAATCATACAAAGAGTTGTTCCGTGCAGAATCAAACTCGCAACACGTTGCAAGGCAGCAGGTTGCCAATGAAACGTGTCAAACCAATCCATTATTACACTAAAACTCCTGCTGATAACGTAAGAGCTAAGGGACAGAACATGAAAGACCTGGCAGCAGCACTTTGATAAAGTAATTCTACGGAAAAAACATCTAGCTTTAATTCCACTCCTAAAAGAAAATATGCTTTGTAGCAGAATTAAAGCTAGATATTTTCCTGTACTTTAGTATGAGTTTACGCAAAGTAATTCTGATAATATGCTGTAAATTTGCTCATATACCTGAACCTTTTAAACAGCGACTTTCAATCCAAGCGTATTTTTTATGGCCAACTCTGCTTCAGAGTATGCCTGTAGCATGCACGTGTTTGTTAATACTATTACATTCTTCAGGTCTATACCTATAGCGGTAGAAGTGGTGTGCCCAGTAAGCACACTTGGCCCCAAAATGAGACGAAATTAACCTGATTGAAATTTTATTTAGAAGGGTGCCATTTTATAATTTTCGCACCAACTCAAAATGTCTTTCGATCCGGCATTAGAATTAGTCCTCAGTTGAATGTACCTTGTATTATTTACAAAAATTCACTCTTAACAGAATCTTTCGTTATTTGTCTATATCTTTACCAGGAATTTAGACAGATGATGTATTTTTGTTGCCAATATAGCAATAAACGGTAGAATTTAAAACAAAATATTTATTTTAGCTGGACTCGCATTCGCTTGGATTTTAATAATATTTTATATCGCTCACTACTTCCATCGTGAGTGTTGCCATAACCAAATTAATAGACTTGAACTATACCGGTAATGTACAGAACGTGTTTTTACGGCATCGAAAAATAGTTACCATTTTACGACAAGGATCTAAAAACGTGCCATTATTTTTATGGCAACATTTTGCAACGACCATAGTACATTTTGTTACGTGCAATAACGAGCGAAATATGTGTGAAGCTATCGACAATTAATTTCAAACTAATTCGTTTTTTTTGTTAGCTTTAAATTATACATCGACGGTTTTATTTATGTTAAGTTTTATTTAAATCGATTTTGTTTTGTGCTCCGATACTAGTTATAGTGCATTTTTTATAATGTGTTACTTTTAGTAGAGTAAATATTTTTCTTTATTTTATTTAATCAATCATTTTAATTATATACTATATGTGAATATTTAGAATTGCAACAACAACCAAAACGACAAAGTCTTGATCAGTATTCGCATACTTATATTTCATCAATTTCCATCAAGAATTATTTCTCATCTTCTGAAAGATCGAATATTAACACTGATTAAAACATCTTTGATTAAAAGAAGGATAAGTGATGATATATTTTGAAGCGATTCTAGCTAATCGTTTATGGCTGCTGCCCAGCCGAGACCAGAAGAAAGTACACGATGGTTTTCAGTCAGACTCTTGCCTGACCCTCCTTCTCGTCTCACGAAGTCTCACTCAGAAAAAATAGTTTATGGCTAGCCAAAGTTTAAAAGTAAACACATGTATTGTGTCAATCTATCCTTAAATAAACTATAAATAAACATATGTGTTACCATTAGCAAAATTAAAGTAATGCAAGTCTCTCTGAGTATATTTCGCTGTTTCCCTGAAAATTTTCCAACGTTTCCAAACTTTATTTTCAGTAGCATTTGTTGTTTGTTCGTTTTCAATTTTAATTGAAATAACTGTTATTTTCCTAAACTACTCGTCAGAGAAAGTTTGTCGAAAATATTAATTTATTTACTAATAATATTTTATTAAAGTTCAACTATTTTGAGACAGGCAGGCAGGCTGTGCCGATCTGTTTTAAATAACAACTTGTTTTGTTTAACTTCAAGGTTTAGTTGTCTGAATGATAAATTAATTAATTTGAACTTGAATTTACTGAAAATTTTATCGAAATTATTTTATAACGAATTATGTAATAGACAAGAATGTAATGTCATTGTTTAAAACCACAATACAACAAATTATGGTACTTATTTCAATATTTTTGGTTATGGAAATGTTTAATAGTGTGCACTAAAAGTTAATTTCTTGCTTTCCTTTGCTTTAGAAATCCAAATGAAGTTCATCGGCAGGAGTCGGTTCTTCCAATATCAAGAGAGAGGAATAAGTACAAGAGCATCCTGTGGGACGAGTACGATACGTTGTACCAGAAATATTTGGAAATAGGTAAGTCAAGAAATGTAGCGTTATTGACGTTCTCCTTAGTATTATCAAATGATTTCATTGAAGTTAGAGTAATTGCTAATATCGTACAGTGTAGTTATCCAGCCGAAATCCACAAATTTATTTGATATCTGTCTGAATTACTAATTTAAAGAAATCTATTAACATAATTCAATATACCAATAAACGTTCTTATCAAAAATCTAATACCAGAACGTTATCTTCCCATTAAATCTACAAAAGACTTTTAATCTCGTTCACCTCACGACCGCGGCAATATCAATTTCAAAAGTTAATTGCGTAGACCTTTTCCATTAGTTCGGGTCGCACAATTTTATCCTTTGAACTGCCTTAACCCGTTACACAATCATAAATTCCATTGCAGGCATGAAACCGCGGATGAAAAACCATTATAGGGCACATCAGCTGTCCGTGTGGCTTCGGTTGATCCCCGAAATCCACCGCGCAGGGATGAAAGACGTGGTTGCGAAACACAACCTTTTTAGGAACCACAACGATCCAGAGTTATACGACGGCCTGGTCAGGCCGGACCCGCTCACACGCGCCAACTATTTCGACCCCACAATGGAGCTATACCGCAAACCGACCTACAACCTCACATTAGACATGCCCTCCACTACGATGGACACTTACGTCACGACGTGCATTAGTGTGATGTCCGCGCGGCCAGGGTCCGCCGTCACACAGAGCCAAGTTCCAAACAATACGCACACACAGGACGTATCTAATTTGGAAGTAGCCGGTTATACCGCTTACTCCACGGCACTCAGTGTAACTATAGCCATTGGGTGCTCTCTTCTAATTCTAAATGTCCTTATTTTCGCCGGCGTGTACTATCAAAGAGACAAAACAAGACTACAAGTAAAAGCACTTCAGCAACAACAGAAAAGGAATCATAACTCAACGTTCGATAGCGTATCGTCGAAGCATCCCCATTACTTCGTCGGGCATTCGCAGAGCTCGAGTACGATTGTCGACATCGATCATCAGGACAAAAACGCGATAATCGCAATGACAAATCGAGTTCCCCACTTCACTACAGCGAACTGCCCGAACGTTTGTCACACGGGGATACAAATGTCGAATTTGTCGCAGAAATCGAGCCCGCCAACAAATAGGGGACAATGTACGACTTTGCCGAGGAAAGTGGGGTTCAGTTATCAGCAAAATCAGATATGTAACGCGTCGAATTGTATGACGCTTCCGAAGAACGCGACTTTTATGAGCAGTGCGGGGAATTTGCCTGACGTACAGGCTCAGACGGGGCAGTCTCAAGGGCCTGGAAATGGGTCTGTGCTGCCCCCTCCCTCGCCGCCGCCCTCTCAACACTTCTCGCAGTCTCGCGTCCCTCAAGCAGCAATGTCGGAAATGAACGTATGAGACATGGAAGATATTTACAATTATGTGTAAAGTGACCGTAAAAACATTTAGTGTGTGTCACGGGACAAGCCATGGTTGTAAATATCGAATGAACACAGTGTACATACGATGTTAAATTAATGTAATATGTAATACAGGTAAAGTTTTAAGTATTCATAGTTGTAATTGTAATTTATAGGTTTCTGAATAAATTGACTTTTTTAAAACGATAATCCAATTTTTCAGAAATCCGAATTCAATGAATCTGTACATTTTGAACTTATTTTTTGTTTATCATGTAAATAACATTATTGTATTTTCATCACCATTTTAAATGGATGACGGAGGTCATTTATATGGAGGTAAACTCGACAATCTTACTAAGATATGAACTGTAATTAAATTTGTAAATGCAGATGATTTACAAGGACATTGTCATCACGGGAGAATTAACAAACATATTGTTACTTCACTTAGTACTGTCATTGAGAATGACAATTATTGTAAATAAATTAGAATCTTAAAGACTGTATACTTAAAATAAGATACTTTCTGTTCAAAGAGCCATGTGACACGGATCATTAACTTCATTGTTGCAAAAGAATTACTTGGGAATGTTAAAATGAAAGCATTAGGAAGTTTTTAGGACTGCGAATTATCTTTATTTTTCCGACTAAGTACGTGCTTCGAAGTTTCTAGAACAAAAAAGCAATTTGTTTCATTTGCACGATGTACCTAACCGAGTATTAAATTGAGTACCTAGAAAAAGAGAATTTGTAAAATAAAATAAATACGAGCGATGAAGAAGCTCTCAGAAATTTCTCGTTGATTTACATATTTATTTGTCAGTTTGGAAATGGTGAGTTATTTAGTGTATTTATTTCAATTATCTTACATTCTGGTTTCGATATTTTTTTGGTTGATTTCGCAATTGATTTTGTGGACATATTTTGTGGTTCTTACCACAGAAGTTTTTTTTACTTGTTTCTGAAGCAAAAGTATTTCAAGTACATTTTGATTGGTTACGTGAAGGGAATTAGTAATTTTTGGGAGGTTTAAGTCTTTTTATGTGATAAAATAACATATAGGGCATACGGGTAGAGGAATTGCCTGGTGGAAAGTAAAAACAGCGCCGTTTAAGGATACTCACAACATCAGAAAACTTGCAACTTCGTTCGGATAAAAGGGAATTTATGGATTAGAGAAGGATGGAGAAAGGACAAGGGCTTACAGTAATTTCACTCACATGGCGTAACATAACGCTTTAGTTGTTTCACGCTCATTTTCTGATCACTCCGGCTTAGAGAAGTATGGCTTTCTGACACTTCCATGATATGTACAGTCAGCTCCAAAAGTCGATGAACAGAATCAACTTTCCAAAACACCTGTTCACAATAAAATGCCATAAGTTATAGTCACAACTAGGAAACAAAATAGCCTGTACATCAGAAATTTACAAAAGTCGTTAAACACGACTAATTCAAAAGTATCTGTGCACTATAGTATTCCTAAAGTCGCTGTACACCATCAATCCAAATGTCGCTGAACATCATTGTATCAAAAGTCAGTAAACAGCAGAAAAGTCAAAATAAGGTTAACAAAGTATATTTTTAATGTTGCCCTGTGTTAATATAATTTTGACGCTTATGTTGTACAGCTACTTTTGGGACAGTGCTCGCTAGACCTTAATAATGTATTTTAACACGTTAGTATCCATTTCAATACTTATTTACACATCAATTATATTTATAACCGACTCTAAAAAAGGAGTAAGTGCTCAATTCGATGCGTATTTTTTATGTATGTACACCGATTACTCGAAGACGACTGGACCGATTTGCAAAATTCTTTTTTTATTTGATTGGGTTTACCTTCCATTTGGTCCCATTGTCATGAGGTCAGAATCTGATAGAGAAATCGAGGGGAACTTTCAATAATTGCAGGGGCGAGTAGTTCTTTTGTATGATGTTTAAGTAGGTCTTTTACAATAGTATAACTTGACGAAGGTCGAAGTCGACCTGATGTTGGAGCTGGAAGACAGTCGAGGGATCTCCTTGACTATTTGGAGTAGTTGCCTTGTGTTTGAGCTTGAATGATTCGTATTGGCACTTTGCACCAGGCTTGGTCGTAACTGTCATTAAGGGTCTGATGATGAGAACGAAGGACAGGGAACTCCTGAACGGATTATAGTAACTACTTCGTGTTTGAACTTAATTCATATTGTCAGTAATCATAGTAATATATAATATGAAATAACATAAACATCACTCTAACAATCTACGAAGTAGACAACTTTGTACACAGAAAATTTATTTTTTATGTTTGTGTTTACTTTTTGAAGTCGTTTGTTTTTTTTCATTTAGGTGAATAGAAAATAATAATAATAACTATTTTTATAATCTCGCAGTAGGTGCCAAGTAAATGCTACATACCAAACAACAACAGTATTAGAAACGTGTATTGATCGCTACCTAGTAATCATCATTGTTTTACTTGGTACCTGGCACTTAATTGGCACCGACTTCGAGATTATAAAAATAGTTATTAATATTATTTTCTATTTACCTACATGAAAACATGTATTACTTTGTACACAGAAAATTATTTTTTTTGTTAAAAATTATTTTATTTCACCATTTCAAGTGATATGCAGAGCAAGCAAGGATAATGTGTTTCGAATGAGAAGACGACGGCTACTTGAGACCGAAAATCACGGTAATAGTAGTAGTCCTTAGTGTTCAGTCCTGTAAATTGTTGAGGAATGCCCTCGACTGTCAATGGTCTCCATCATTATGTGTACTGTAGATCTTCAACATAGTTAAATAATCTATATAGGTGCAAAGTGCTCACCAATACGAATCATTCCAGCCCAAACACAAAATAATTACTCCAAATAGTCAGCGAGATCCCTCTACGGTCTTCCAGCTCCATCATCAGATTTACTGCATAACTTCATTGTAACTCATGTAGGTGCGAAGTTTTTATTGATATAAATGAATTAATTCCAAACACGAGGTAGTTACTGGAAACCGTTCAGGCGTTCCCTGAGCTGTCCTTCGTTGTCATCATCAGACCCCTAGTGACAGTCACTACCGGTCTTGGTGCAAAGTGCTCACCAAGAAGAATTATTCAAGCCCAAACACAAGGCAATTACTCCAAATAGTCAAGGAAATCCCTCGACTATCTTTCGGTTTCATCATCATCAGGTCGAGTTCAACCATCGACAAGTTGACGTAAATACCTGAATGACTTCAGAAAATATACGAATCATGCCGACTGTCCCTATAAAATTTTAAATTTCCACTCGATTTTTCTGGATTTCCATTATCAGATCTTGACCTGGTGAACATGGAAATTATACCCTACTGAACAAAAAAAAAAATCCCGACGAATTGAGAACCTCCACCTTTTTTTAAAGTCGGTTTAAAATATTATTAAATTTTAAATAAGTATTGAAAAAGATACTAACGTGTTAATATACATTATTAAGTTACACTGTCCCAAAAGTAGCTGAACACAGTGCAACAATAAAAATATACTTTGTTAACCTAATTTTGACTTTTCTGCTGTTTACTGATTTTTGATACAATGATGTTCAGCGACATTTGGATTGATGGTGTACAGCGACTTTAGGAATACTATAGTGCACAGATACTTTTGAATTAGTCGTGTTTACCGACTTTTGTAAATTTCTGATGTACAGGCTATTTTGTTTCCTAGTTGTGACTATAACTTATGGCATTTTATTGTGAACAGGTGTTTTGGAAAATTGATTCTGTTCATCGACTTTTGAAGCTGACTGTACCTATAGCCATGTTGATAAGCAGATAAAATATATTTCAGTGTCAGTAAATGAAGATCCCAAAATAGAATTTCTTTATAGGTGAAACACAAAGCGAAATTAGAACAGACATCACTGTCAAATATTTTGATAAAACAAAACATTTACTTGAAATGCCTCAAAGTCAATTTCACAAAGCTTGGCTCCAACAATTCTGTTACCTTTCACTCATAAATAAACAGTTGGAAGTTATCGTGAACAAATGAACAATCCTGATTTATAGATACTCTCACAAATCCCTCCTTTAGAAGAATCGCTTTCAAACAATACACGATTAAAATTTTCCACGAAACGTATTTACCTATTTATGTAGAAATAAGTTGTTTAAAAAGAATACTCATTGGAAAAGTAGGGATTTGAATTTTGATAGTAAACATGGAAAACATATTTATATTATTGAAGTTTATAATTTACTTATTAAATTGCACTAGTATTTTCTTTAGTCGTCAGTACGTTTACAAATTTATATCTTCATAAAAAAATGTGGATCAAACAGAATTTATTATGTGGTAGTGTATGGGAATCAACCTCGCAATTCATTGCGTTGCTAGTCACCTAATCAGTTTCAGTAAACAAAATACAGTTTTATTCCGATTTGTAAAATGTATGTTGAAATTATTGAGCACAAAAAACTCAAATGCAAAACAAACAAAAAGCCGTCAAACCAGTAATTAACGTTTGATTAATATACAAGCATTCATAATACATGAACAAACAAACACAACCCTACTATACAAACGAAACTAATTACACTCTTAATAAAAAAAGTGTCCAATTTACTAACACAAGCATAGCATATTAGGCTACACAGCCTTCCCAACATAAATATTTTTAGCGAAAAACTGAGTACATTTTCATATACAAGCGGATCAGTGAAAAATATACGGAAAAAGGGTAAATATTTTTCGCTGCGAATCACAGAGGTTTTTAATATCAACACGCTGTGTTTATGAGGTCAGGAAATCTAGCTATAAACTAGGGGTCGTTGAATAGCTTGCTCGGCTGTGAGTTTGGAGTTTCGAGGTCGCTAGTGCCTACATGTTACACCGAACCTATTTGAGAATCACGCATCACCTATTTTTGGATGAGTTACTGCTCTATGGTAGGGAAATGTTGATGAGTTACTGTTTTCTTATAGATTTTGTTTGTTATTCCTTATTTTTTGTAGTTATAAATTACA